TTTCTATTACTTTTCGTGTATACTTATACAAAATAACAAATCATCGTTAAAAAAAATTAAAATTGATACATTCATTGCTCTGCTGAAAATCTAAAACCGTTGAGAATTCCACTGCTATTGAATTTTTAAACATTGTTCAATCTGAATGTATGTGGTAAAATGATCATGGTGAGACATAATTGTATTGAAGTTCAATGTTCTGTTTTAATTTATAATAACTGGTCTACATACTTAATTATTATTTCAAATAAATACCTATGTCACTTCTTAAAATTATTTGTATTTTCCTAACCTTGATTTTAAATTTGAAAAAATTGTTTGAATATAGACATGTGACTTATATACTTATTTATATTTATGTTGTAGATATTATGGTTATCGTAATCCAGATGATGAAGACAATAGATTGAAAGTATTAGCTGAACGTATGAATTTATTTCTTGACAAGGACGTGTTGGACATTGGCTGTAATATTGGTCATATTACTTTCAGCGTTGCTAGAGATTTTGGTGCAAAGTCAGTTGTAGGAATGGATATTGACCGTAAATTAATAAATATTGCACGCAAAAATGTACAGTATTACATTAACGATTCAGCTCCATCTTCTTCCTCACACCCGACATCAAACCATCACTTTAAAGATTCTGCTTTAAGTAATAGTAATGATCTAAACTGTGATAATTTAAACAAATCATTACCTATGCAGTATCGTCCTATTAAATCAGTTGGTTTGACATTATCCGAAAGGTTTCCCCACAATGTCTCTTTTGTGCAGGTTAGTTAAATATAATATTATGTTTGGTGATTTCAAAAATTTAGATTTATAACTAACACATATGTTTCAGGGAAACTATGTTTTAGAATCCGATATTTTACTTTCATTGGAAACGTGTAAGTTCGACATTATTCTTTGTTTAAGCATTACCAAATGGCTTCACTTGAACTGGGGTGATGACGGTTTGAAACGTGCATTTAAACGTATGTTTGCACAGTTGCGACCTGGTGGGACACTTGTRGTAGAACCTCAGCCATGGAAATCTTACAGTCGTAGGAAAACATTGACGGTAAATATAATGATATTGTTTATAATGTTAATAAATAATAAAATATTAATCAATTGTTTGATTTATAATTTTAGGAAACCATTAGTCAAAATTACAAAAACATTCTACTGAAACCTCCAATGTTTACTGACTATCTGTTGAACGAAGTTGGTTTTTCCAACTGTGAAACGCTTTCAATGCCTCATAATCCATCTAAAGGGTTTCAGCGTCCACTTAAGTTGTATAAAAAACCTAACATATCAGTGACTAGCAAGGGCTAAGAATTGAATCTTAGTCCGTGGTTACTAGAAACAAACTAATTTGTATAATATTTCAACTCAGTAAAACCTAAAAATCATAAATATAGTATTGAAATACTCATGTAATTTTTTAATGAATGAAGTCTTAAATATTTATRTTAATGTTTGTAGCTTTGTAATTAGCAATTGGATCATGAGTATATTATATTATATACCATATTTACATATTATTATATAAATTGTTGTTTATTTTTTTTTAATTGGCGTTATATTTATGAATCTTTCAGTAGGGCTCATTATCTTTCTGAAAAAATTAAAAAAATTGAAAAAAGTTCATGAAATCATTTTAGTAGAAAAATTACTTTAACAAATAAATTGATGAATTATGGAAAATTGTTAAAATTAATGTTTTTAAATGTATGAGTAATATACTCTATATTGGTACTTCGTTACTATAATACTATATTAGTAATACACATTTTATGATTGTACATTATGTATTATTCATTAAAATTCAAAATTTTAAAAATTTAAAAAYCATTTAAAGTTGTTTCTAAGTTTAATTAAAATAAATGTGAAGTATAGAAAAATAAATTAAAAATATTATGGATAACAGTTTYGTCATTTTAACATCTTTTTTATTTGAAAAATCAGTTAAAAACTTATATTAGACAGATAGTATGTGCATAAAAATATTAGCATGATAGAAATTATAAATATGCATCACTCAATTTATTGTTGTTAAATAAATAGTTGACTGCAAAGATAACAATAAATATTTGCGTTAAATAATATTGAGTTTTATATTCTATATTATTATTAAAATACATAGAATACCCATTTTAAACTTGCCATTGCATAGCTTGGATTTTTAGCTCTGTCTGCTATAACTTCAAGAGCATATTATAGAGTAATATGCAACTCCCAAAACTATTATACACTATTATAATTTGCTACATTTTAACTGTAATTTTTAATATATAATTGTAATTTTAATCATAATTATTTTTGCAATAGATATATTGTTAACTGTCTGACACACATTGCTTTACCACAAACTAATAGCTAGCATAGATAGCTGGTAAGTAAGTTATAGTATTCGTCCTAACTGATGTTGATAAATTTATGAAATCCTATACAAGTATCAGAAAATAAGAAAATAGTTACCAGATCATTGACCTGTGTCTTCCTGAGATTATTTTAACCATTGAAACATTGTGCATTCAGAAACACATCATAATAATATAGTYATAGCAAACCATACTATTAGATTAGTGACCAGTCCACCGGTCCACGTTCACACTGTCCAATTTATTTCAATACTATTAACCTATGAACTTGAATTTCATTAACAAAATAAATGAGGATTAYATCAAGCATTAAATTCAACTAAAACTGTTACATATTACCATTAATTTAATAATATCTCTTATTATACTCAATGATATGGTATCTACGATACATGAGAGTTTTTCATGTAAATCGTGTATTTTGATTGAAAATCCACCCTTTAAATTTTTGATCGACGGTGCCGTGGACATGACGTGTGGMTGTGCAGCGCGTGCRAGGATAGCCGGTAACCGCAATCATACTCACACTAWTCATCATTTGCGACCAACACAAATGCCGTGGTCCATGGCAACAAGATTGCATATTGCCTAACTATTTCCTCTTAATAAGAGTAGCTCAGTCGCCCTGGATCCTCCCACAATTCAACCACTGTTTCTGACCAACATAGATGAAATGCCGTCATCTAAAATCATTGTTTATGGTGTTTGAGTAATCTTAGAGTATCTATTACAAAAATTAAAGATGATAATATTTTTGCGGGTATGACATCTATCTTGGTTTTATTTTTGATCATTATTTTGCTTTGTATTCGACTTTTAAAATAAACATTTTTTTTTTTTATAAATTAAAATGATATTTAAATTTATTTAGAGACAGTATTTAGACAAATTGATTAATTTTAATAGTATATTAAACATTTACATTTTTAGAACTAATATTTTTGTCTGGGTATGCATACTAGTATACTACATACTGTACTTATATATAYAGTATATGTGTGAATGTATAAAGTATATTATAATATACAGCATAAAATAATTTGCGAATGTTCGTGATTTTTACGTATGTTGTCGAAATTCAAACTTTGAATGCTTATAAAAAAAAATTGTGATTATTAATGTCTTTTATTTTTTAACTGCTATTGTACAAATATGCTAGGATAATTGTATTAAATTTTCAAATCTTAGATTCAAAAAGAAAAACTTTTATGAATTTTTATGTAAGAAAGATAATTTGAATATTGCCGTAATTTTTACGTATTTAGTCAAAATTTGAACTTTAAATGYTTATCGTGCCTATGCATTTTTAATATTTTTCAACTGCTGTTGTAACAATGTGTTTAAGTGTCTTGAATTAAATTTTCAAGCTTCTCTATCAAAAAATACATTTTTATCGATATTAATTTTAATAAATAATAATGATCGAAAATTGCATATGCCTATAAATAGTTCAACTTAAGTCGACATTTTTTGAAAATTTCATGGTGGATAGAATATACTTGTATAAACATTC